AAGTCTATTTTTAAAAATAGCCATACCGGTTCCTGTGTAGTGGAGGGCAGGATATTCTCTAAATTTTCCATCAAAATACATATGTATATCTACTGTCTCCTCTGACTTGTCTTCTTCTGTTGAATGTTTCAAGGAATATAATAAATATGCTTTAGTCTCCCAACTACTGTGTCTCCATCATTGATATACAGAAAACCAAATAAACATAAAAGCACAAATAGAAAACCAATTTTAATAGCATTCTGGACCACTAAACCAGAGAAGACAATAACAATTATAGAAATTTTACTTATAATTCTTTGTTAAATATCTTGTTGTAATAACAAGTGACTGAGTTGTACTCAAACACACAAACACACACAAACAGATCCTACTCAACACCCCTAATCAACAAAAATTTCCCATCACAAATGGAAATTTCAAAAATTATTTGCGTCACCTAGTCAACACCCAAATATCAACAAAAATCTCAGCTTTAAATCCAAACTTGCAGTCCCAAATCAGCAAAAATCTCCCATCAGAAATGGACATTTCAGAAATTATTTGCATGACTCATAGTTCCAACACCCAAAATAAAAAAAAAAATCTCGGCTTCAAAACCACAGTTGTAGTCCCAAAACAGCAAAAATCTTCATTTTAAATCCAAAGTACAAGTCTCAAAACTCACAAAATCAGGAATTTTCTAAGGTAAACACCCAAATATTGCATATTTGGGTGTAAATAACATCATCAGCCCTCAAAATCTGAGATGGGTAACCCTAAATTGTAAACTAATTATAACATACATGAATTGATTTTAATTAATTATAACATGAACAAAGTATAGCATACATACCCATTTGCCTTCGATTTTCTGGAATAAATCTTCGTCTCTTTCGATCTTTTTACTTGATTCCGTTTGGTTGGGCTTTACTTCCTCTCTCTCTCTCTCTCTCTCTGTAGGGTTTGAAGGGAAGAAATGAGTCCGTTCAATTGCCTTTTGGGTATTATACAAGGGCATTTTGGTCCTTTTATCAGTTCCCGTTAATTTTACCGATTTCCGTCAGTGTTACAACTTAGTTCAAAGCACAAGGTGTCGCGTTGTATATTTTGAAATCATAGGGGGGGCTTATTTGTATATTAGGTTTAGCACAGGGGACTTTTTTGTTTTTAACCCTTTAATTTATTACAATGGCTAACTCGCACATTGACTCCTCTCTCCTTACATTTGTTAGTTAATTTTGCTTAGCAATATTAAAGATTAGACCCAAATGATACGGATGCAAAAACTTGAGGTGCAATGTGTCCAAAATGAAATTTACGGTGTAAAGTGAGAATTAGAAACAATTCTGGGGGTAGAACCTGAAAATAGTTCTTTTATTGGTATCCAGTTACGATACTTGAACTCTCTGTGCACATTCTCTACTTGGTTAGTTTATTGTTTATGGTGTTAATGATTGGACTCAAATGGAACGGATTACAAGTTAGATTGTAAAATGTCCACAATTAAATCACAAGGTGCAAAATGAAAACTGGATACAAATTGGGGGTGTAAGGTATGATAAGTGCTTGTTTTACATATTTGTGTATGATTGTTTATGTGTATTTTAGTGTGTTTTCATTTAAATTTGAGTCAAATAATTTGGTTTTTAGTTAAGCTTTGCATTTTGTGGTTAAATAAGAAAATTTGCATTTCTATGGACTTATGTGCTCAAATTTCATGTTTTTTTTTATAGGTTTTGATAATTCAATCATCACTTGAAGGGTAGTGAGAAGATACTTGCATGATTTTTGATGATTTGAAGTGGAAATCATGTGACGTGAAGAACCAAAGGATGAAATGCAAGCAAGAAACAAGAAGAAAAGCATTGGCAGCAATGATATATTTTGGTACATTGGCTATAACTTGAGCTAAAAAGCTTGGATTGAGATGTTTCTTAGAGCATTTTAAAGCTAAGAGGAAGGACTACAATTCTTTTGAAGGCACCAAAATCTAGTTCTTATGTTTTCATAGTCAAAAGTCCAAATAACTGAAGCACTTTTCTTCAACAATCCTTTCTGTCCAGTCATTAGTATTTTGGCCATAACTTAGTCCACAGATCTCGAAATGACTTCATTCTTGAGCCATTGAAAAACTATCTCAAAGGGTTACAATTTTTGTTTTTCATAAGAGCTAATTCAACAAAAACAGGGGAGAAATCCAGCCAAAAATCCATGTACGGATTGTCGGACGGATTCGAGTCAGAATAGCAGCATAACTTGTGCAGTTTGCACAATAATTGAGTCTTTCCTTTTCCCTATAAAAGGGACTCCACTTGGACGAATTTCGCAGTGAAAAAGGGGGAGAAAAGCACCATCAAAATGTAGATTTAAAAGTAGAAATCCTTAGTTTTTCTAGTCTAGGTTAGATTAGTGTAGGATTAGTTTAGAATTAGTGGGTTATTCTTCAATTCTTGTATTAGCTCGACAAGGAAGCAAAGAGAGATGAAGATGGAGAAGTTGAACTCTAGTGACAAGAGTTTGATCTCTCTTAACACTTTAACTCTTGTATTTGATTCCTTTGTTAGTTTTAATACAAGATTGGATTGTATTTTCATTTGCTTTATGTTTAGGTAAAGTTTCATGCCTTGGGTTGGATGAACTTGCTATGATTTGTTTGTGAGATTTGCTTGGAAGGATGATGCTATTGCTTTGAATTAATTATTTAGCACTTTTGTTCTTATAATCATGATTAACTGGTCATTAGTTGTGAATATTTGAAGATATTGAATTATCAATGATAGTTGCAATTCAATATTAGTTCAAGGAAGTACTAAACTTAGGTAGTACACTCACGAAAGTAGAGGTGCACTTTTGTGGCTTGTTTTATCGTAATTTCATAGAAGTTCATGAACTTGTAGCTAATTTCATAATCATGAGAGTAGGTATAGATTAGTTATAAGTATAATTGATTACTACGAGAGTAGGTTTTACATACATAAGAAAATTACGCCATAACTAACTGAGGTAGTAGTGTTCAATTACCCAAGTAATCTTGCTAGCTCAGAGTGGTTAGGAATTCCATTCCCTAGGAGCTTTCTGTTGTAGTTTCCACTTCACATTTTCCTATATTTGTAGCTTAGACTTACTTGACTTGCATTTATAAGTGTCTAAATAATAAAAGAGTTTGAATAACGTCGGTAATTGCTCAATTTTCTCTGTGGGATCGACCTTTAATACCTTATACTCAAACATGACCTGTATACTTGTAATTGTGTGTGGAGTATTTAGAAAGTTACAAATTTAAAACTTGAGGCAGAGATTATTTTTATATACACGTCCCACGCCTATCAAGGTATAAGTAGCCTCTTCTCCAATTTGCACAACTGTAATTCCTTTGATTGTTTAAGGATAAAATCACGTCTGATTATGTTCCACTGTTTCCTTTTTTTCTTTATGCAGATTTACTTGCCAAAAGATCTTAGGCCATCTCTTGCAAAGGAATTGCAGTTCTCTTTCTTTCTTTTTCTTTCCTTTCCTTCTTTTTTTTTATCTGTAAGGAAAAAAGATAGGAGGAATTGAAGTTGTTGCTTATATGCTTGATCAAAGTTGAAATTAAACCGATCCTCCCCTAGTGGTCATGGTCTAGAAATCCAGTACAAAAGTGGTAAGAACGTACAAAGAAGGATTGTAGCAGATTCTCCATTTCTAAGGAACATTTTTCTCTAACACAGAAATGATGCCTTTCTAGACTTTCTCCCCATATTAAACAGATCGAATCACAATACAGAAGATCCAACCCTATTATCCTTTCCATAGATATTTAATGGATCCATGGTTGGTTTCTATGCTTTTTCTTATTTAAAACTTTTAAATTGATTTAGAGGCTAACCACATGACATAATATGAGTAACAAGTGCAAGTTTGGGGCTCCTACCTTGGGTTTATTTTCTTATACAAATTGAAAATAATTGGAAGCAGTAAGGACATGCTTAATTTGCAAAGACCGGGCCGCTTTTTAAATTAAGCCAATAAAGGAAGTTTTTATTGTAAGGACATGCTCCTATGCATAATTATTAACCACGGCCTGATACTGGCATTGAACTAATGAATTCGGTGAACTGGTGACTTAGCAGGATTGAGTTAGTAGTTGGATTGAATAAGGAAGAAATTAGTTGACTGGATCAATGACTTATCGGTTCAACTAGTAAATTCAAAAACTTGTGAGTTCAACCATTGATTCGATAATTATATAGTTTCTTTAAAAGTTTTAATATGCAATTTTTTTATACTAATAATCATGGTTCAATCTACGGTTGAGTCCAGCGAGACCATGCTAGTAGGTGAACCGGATAAAGTAGAAACCAGTTGACTAATTAATGACTCGTTGGTTCAATTAGTAAATTCAGAAAATCACTAGTTTAACTATTGATTCAATAATTATATTATTACTAGTATTTTTTTTAATGCTATATATGCACGGTTCAATCACTCACCCATGATTGAATCAATAATCTGTTGAATCGATACTCTGTGGGGTCGGTTTTCGGACTAGATTTAATAACTATGCTCCTAGGAGCTAAGCAACTATTCAGTTTCATCTTTTGTAACTGATTTACCATATAGTTTGAATAATTAATTTGAAGAAACATGAACGAAAATGAGTCGAGCACAATTGTTGCATTTGAAGCTCACATCTATGGGAATATATCCTGCATTCAAGTTTAAGTAACCCAATCAACAGTTGTATTAAAAAGAGTCTTATTTATCAAAGTATACGATAAGATAATCGCCTAAAGTTTTTTCTCCTCCTTGCACCGGAAAACTGTAAATGCACTTACACACTGACATATCTGACTCTAACTCGATATTATTACACAGCTAAAAGAGACTCAAAATTGATAAAAACGTTGTCTTAGTGCAACTGCTGTATCTTCATGACAAAACCCTTCTGACCTAAAGATTGCAAAAGGGGAGGAAAAAGGGAACAGAATCAGAAAAGAGACCGAGGCTGAAATATGCAGATGGTGCCTTAAGTACAATCACATCCATTTAGCGTTGGCTTCGATAAGCAACGGTTTCAACTTGCCTCGAATGTTGAGGCTCAGAACCTCAGTGGAACCGCCAACAAACAGCTTCCCTATGAAAACAGCAGGAACACTAGGATTACATCCTAATGTTAGCAATGCATTCTCAATATCCCTTCCTTTCGGGTGATGATCAAGCTCATAAACCGTAGGATTCGCCCCAAAGCTTCTTATCAGCATCTTGATAGCATGGGAAATGCAGCAGTTGCTCTTGCTGAAGATCACAACTGGCTTTTCTGACCCCAATCTCCTCACTGTTTCCATTCTACTTAAAAGTTTTGAAATCCTATTTGATCAGAGGAAATTTAAGTCTTGGTTTCAGAAATATCTGAATTTCATAAAGGCATATATAGAGAAATAAAGATGATGGACTGCCATAGTTTTCTTCTGGAGTAGGAAAAATACGACATCCGTAAGATCATTTTGCTTCTAAAGTTGATTCTTGGATAATATCAGCTGCTATACAAACACAATAAAGGTTTGATCTGTCTCAGACAACAAAGAATCTTAAGTTGCGTCAACATGCTGACAACATTGAAAGCCGAAAGTAGTCGTAGATGATAATAGTCTTTTCCTTAATTTTACTAGAAAGATTCCATGGTGTACTATGGCTTCTAAATTCAGTTAGATTATTCAATATGTTTGGTTTAGAACTGGAATATATGTCATTTTATTAACAGGTTAATCAATTTGAAAGCCAAATAATAAATGGGAGATGATAAGAGGACAATATGTAACACTTTCATTTCTATTGAATGATGCCCATGATGATCTATCAAACAATCGATAACAATAATTATTAATCTTGATACCCACTCCAGGCCCTAATAGCCATTTGCCAAACACCACCCACATTTGCAAAACTCGGGCCAGAAAAATAGTTTACAAGACATTGGACTTCTCCAAGTGAACAGAATGTAATTCCTTTGACTGTTCCGGCACAATAGTTTTGACTGTGTTTTAAGGACAATAGTGTGTATGAATATGTTCCTATCTCTCCTTTTTCAAGTAGATAACTCCCAAATTTCCAAATACCTTAGACCCCTTATCACTAAGAAAATGAAGTTCTTTCATCAAAGTTTGTTGTTTATCAAGGTTGATTGGCCCCTTATCACCCCGGTCCTTTTTTTTTTTTGCTTAATAAACGAAAGGGTTCCTTGCTACCAACCCAATTTGGAAGCAGCATAAAAGATTTAGGCTAAACCACAATGGTGTTATGGTTTAGAAATCCATTACAAAAGCGAAAAGAAGGTATAAAGAATGGTTGTAGCAGATTCTCCATTTCTGAGCAAAATTTACCTCTGACACAAAATGATGCCTTTCTAGACTTCTGTACATGATAAATAGATCGAACAATAATATATAGAAGATCCCATCACATATCCTTCCCATCTCGCACAATGTTTCTTCAAAAAATTATTTAATGATTCCAAGGGTCGAGTCTACAAAAAAAAATTAAAATGAAAAAGCATAGAAATCACATCATGCATTTTCTTTTCAATTTTTAAAGCACGTTAGAGGGATAACTAGATGACAGATAGCAAAGACAGCGCACCATTGCCTCGGGTTCTTATTCTTCTTCTATTTTTCTCTCTCTCATTTTTGGTTTTCTTTTTGTGTACACAATGAAAATCAAAAGCTGCATGCTTTGCAAAAATCGAGCCATTTTCTTTAGTTAAACCAATAAGGGAATTTTCTTTTATATTGAGGACATGCTCCTATGAGCTAAATAACTATTTATTTTTGCCATTTTGTAATATATCTCCAATACATCTTTAGATCTTTTTAAAAAAAATTAAAAGAATTTATAGCCAAGCACTTTATTCTTTTTCACTTCAAGCCAAGTTCATCTATATAACTCTACCATCTTTTCTTTTCTTCTCCTTTATTTAGTTCCGTGTCAACAAATGACAAACAACTCACAACCTCGAGTTGGGGCGTGAGGCATATATTCTGTGAGAAAAATAACATTATATTGCCGAGGATGACTTGCACACCTTATCTTTAACAGTTTTACATATGCAAATCTCGAAAATTCTCCAATTCTGATACTAGAAGAGAATAAAATGTAGCTGCCAACCTCCATAATCAAAGAAAAATCCAATTAAAATATTTGGAATACTTTAGACTGTTAATATGCGTGGTAATCAACGTTGCTATGATATATGTCATTTTGAGTTAATGTTTTTCTTTCAATTTTAAGAGCTAATTAACGTCAACATGTAGTTCAAGAGCGTGATTTCTTGTTGTAGTACTTAATCAATTCTCAAATATTTGTGTTTAATTGGTAAGGATCGAGAAGGTATGGGTATCTTTAAAAAAAAAAAGGGATAGAACTATCTTATTTAAAAACTTGAGGGGCTGAATTTGTTCGTTGTTTTATTCGAAAGCCCAATTAGCACTAATGTGACATTGTGCATTTAGATACCATAAAATAATAGAAGTGATATTTGCACTCCAAAATTAATTTCTTGCACTCCTTAGAGGCATGTTATTTAGTGAGTGGATTGGAGTGCAAGAGCCTAAAATGGACGCATGGATATCAATTTCCTAAAATAAATAAATTATTTTTTATACATTGACAGTGTATAATTATCAGAATTGGATGTTGGATGTATGACAACAAATCTTAATCTGAATTTGAAATTCAAAATTTTGCATATATCCTGATAGTGTGTGTGTGTGTGTATGTGTGTGTGTATATATATATATATATATATATATATATATATAATTGTGACAGTATATATCCTAAAAGTGTATATAAGATTAGAGTCTATCTACAAACAACCGATCTAAAATCACAAAATTGCTAAATGATAGACACGAATATGAAAATTCTTAAAATCATAAAAGTGGGTCATCTTTTAGTTTGTTTTTACAACTTAAGTCATATGTTGCTTAGTTTAGGATTGTCCATAATAAGATTAATTTAAAATGAATTTGTCAATGAGGCCCAAGTGTATTGATTGAAAACAACCACGGTAAAGACTTCATGAACAAAAGGTTTTCTATTATGGACTGTAATTAATTTTCTACTCATTCCATCCCATTTAATAGTCTTGAGATTTTTCTCATATAGTTTTAAGAAAAATTAGCTAATTTTGTTGGAAAGTAAATCTGACCTAATGTTTTTCTAAATACCTTTATATTAATATTAAGAGTATCAGTAATCACTATACCTTTACATTAAATATAACAACAATAATAATGGTATATTACACCATTCAAGACATATATCAAGTGGAAAAGTTGACTGTGTTAAATAAGGTAGATTATATTTACTAATAATGAAGTATATTAACCAAGGGTATTTTGGAGAAATTAAAAATTAAATATATTCTTGAATTGAAAGTTAGACTATAATTTGAAATGGATGAAAAGAAAAATAAAACTATCAAAATAGAACGGAGGGAGTATAAATATGTGTCTTCCTCTATATGGGTGGTTATACGCTTATTGTTGCTAACTGAAAGAAAATGAAATGAAAAGAGAATTTAAACTTTTCTTTTTCTTTCATATGCTAAGATACAACTTATAGACTCCATAAGATTTTAGTATGCAGTCCAAGGTTGAGACACAAAAAAGTAGAAGTCTACAAATATGAGTTTGAGTCTCACTAAATGTGAGTTTTATTAGCAATAAGCCATTCAACATCCCATTGGTTTTGAGTTAGAAGTTACAATTGTGGATTACTTGCGAACATATAAAAAACCATATGACTTAATAGACATGAAAAGCCTCATTCCCATAAAAATCCCATAACAATTTGATTCTCGAGAAAAAGCTAATCAAGGAAAAGCCATTCTAGAATTTTTTTTTTTTTCTTGCAACGAACAAAAGATGCCCAGTTCATATTTGCTGTTCTTGTTTGAGCAGTAGAGGATCGTTCCAAGTTCGTGCGTCGGCATGGGATAGGGTGTTCTTGTGGTTGTCTGACAGACTAACCTCTATTGTTTTGTTCTTCTATTTTTTTTTTTAATTGTGGTTAAAATTAATTGATTTATCAATTTTTTCCAAAGTAAACATTCTTGTTAATCGAGGCCAGCTTATGGTAGCACATGACTCAGACAACTGAGAACCAAACCTCATTCAGACCAATTTAAGTGAAAATTTCAATTTTTGCTTACCATTTCGAAGAAAAATTGCTTTTGCCTGGCATGTTAAAGAATAATCCAAATTGAAAAGAGTGCTGGCTAAGGCCAGTTGCTTAGTCTTGCGATCTTCTCTCAGGATAAACTATCACCTCTTCCGCCAAGAGAAACCAAAGTCTTCTGATACACTAATTTGGGGAGTGAAATCGATGGACTTTTGCATGGCTAATATGACTAACTTAGTCCAAGTTGATGAAATACCTAGATATAACAGTGTCTCTCTGTTTTTTTTTTTCATTTTTCCTGTTAGGCGGCCTCAGGGTGCAGGGCCTCGCTATAAAATATCACGTGTATTATTTAATGATTTTTTTCAATTCTGTACTCTAAAGGCACAATAGTGGTGAGAGATGGATGAGATTATTGGAATTGGATGGTCTGAAAGGAAGGACGGTAAGCGAGAAATCCTGAATTTGTACCCTTCCATTGACACCCAAAACAATGTGAAAAAGGTGCATAGTAAGAAGAGTGGACCCCTATTTGATCCACTATAAAATTCCAATATTATGATCCACGACGAATTATGCAAGTTTCAACCATAGCGGATCACTCCAAATTCCATCAACTTCAATTAGGTACATCATGTAAAATTATTAATTTACTAAATTGGGGTTCTCCAATCATCAAAGTCGATATCTCTTTGCTGTATGACCTGTTTGGAGGATTTGGAATATTTTGATAAATTTAGAATGCAAAGTATTCAAAATAAAGGAGTTTAAAGGATAAAAACGTAAAGGGTGCAGAATAGAACGAGTCCATATTATTTTTATTTTTTTTTTTGGGTTCACATACAAGTCCATTTGATTCCACATTATTTGATCAATTTATTTTGTAGGGGAAAATCTAAAAGGCTCTCTTTTAGGTTGGAGTCAACAAATATTAATTGCTCACAAATGGGGAGTCAGCTGCCACAGCGGTCGTGGTACGTACTTCCCCTTGCATTTTGTACGGAAATCTAAATAATGATCAACCTCAATATTTTTATGCAATTTGCAATTAGAAATGGGCAAGAACCAACATGTTTACTCGATTTTTGGTGAGCCCAGAAGATTGACATTCTATTGCTTAGCACAACTTGCCTATCTCAGCTTTAACAATTGTTACTAGAAGCGA